CTGGGGAGAGGGAGTGATGCCATCTGCTTTGTGGGTGGGTGGGTGGGTGGGGGCTTTTACCTGACCGTGGGGTCAGCACCGGCCTCCAGCAGCAGCCGCACGGCCTCCCCCTGCCCTGCGGCCGCTGCCACGTGCAGCAGGGTGAAGCCACCAGCATGGATGGGTGCGTTGAGCAGAGCGAGGAGCGCAGGGCCCCCAGGCTGCTCTGATGCACCCACGGGGGCTCCCAACAGGAGCTGCAGTGTCTGTGCGTCACCTGTCTTGCAGGCCGTAAACAGTGCATCCCGCAGCTCGGTGAGGGCGGGTCCTGACCGGGTGGGACATGGGGGTCACCAGCCGGAAACCCCATTCTGCATGGTGCCGAGACCCTCCAGGAAGCAGCTGGGAACACTTGCCCAGCAGGACCCCCTGCAGCACCCCCCAGCTCCAGCTAGGCACCTGCAGCCCCCCCAGACCCCCACTTGGTGCCAGAGCCAGGAGCAGCCATAGGCAGCCAGCAGAGGAGCAGCCCACAAGGAGGCACCATGGCCTCATGCCCTGGGGACTCTACCCCCCCATCAGCAAAGCAGGGTGTGGGGGGGGTCTCTGCTCTCCAGGGGGGTGGTCCCGGGAGCGAGGGCACTCACCTGTTCCCTGGGGCCTAGGCTCCACACTCGGGTTTGGCTGCTGTTGTGAGGTCTCCGGGTCGTCGCCGCCTCCTGGCTTCTCAGAGCACGGCTCCGATCCTGGAAGGAGCAGGCAGAGGGCGTTAGATACGTGCCCCCCACCCCAGTTCTCCCCCTCCTGGGGACCCTGATTCTGTCCTCACCTCCAGCCATTCGTGGCCCCTTCCTCCTCCTCCTCCGGCGACGCCGGGGCATCACCTCGAACTCCCGCAGTGCCAGCGTCCCCAGCGTCACCTCCACCGTCTCCAGATCCCCCGACAGGCTCCCCCCTTCCGCATCCGCATCCTCCTCCTCCGACAGGGCTGCGGGGGGCAACACAGCTGGGGCTGGGCTCCAATCACGGCTCCCCTCCAAGCTCTCCCTGCCAACCTGGGGCACGTCCTGGGGGAACCAGTCCCACCTGCCCCTGTTGGAACGTGCCCTCCCTGGCAGTTGGTACCCACAAGGCTGCCCGGGCCAGGGCTCGCACTGACTGCCCCTGCTAAGGTCCTGGCTCCCCCTGCCCCTGCCCGCTGGACCCCCACCCCCAGCTGCACGCACCCTGTGGAGGCTCCTCCTGCTCCACCCCAGCCCGTGGCACCTTCCTCCAAGCCTTCCGGGGGGAGCCGATGAGATCGGCCACCGATGTGTCCTTCCCTGTGGAGCAGTAGCATACGGGTTACTGGGGCTGGGATCAGAAACCCAGATCCCCCAAGCCTGCAGCCCTGGGGTCAAGGTGGAGGCTGCCAGGACATCAGAGCTGCCCTGCACTGGCTCAGACCAAGGTTTGCCTTGACCTGCCCCCCGGGCCCTCCCCAGACCCCAGAACTTGTCATGGGGCTACACAGTGCTGCCTGCCTCCATTGCAGCAGCCCAGGGGGTGCCAAACCGGTCCACTTTCGATCTGCCCAGTGCTATCAGCTCTGCAAGTGTGGTTCCATAACCTCCCCAGCCTGCCTTTGTGTCCCACCCAACACCAAGTGCCAAGATAGACTTGACATGGATGAGGGTATAGCATGGACAAGCCTGTATATTCCACCCTGATCCTGCAAGCCACTGGGACCTCAGCTGGCGACTCCTGTCCGGAGCCATGGCCACGGACGTGTCTGGTGCAACTCACGGACGCCTCCAACCCCTGCCTCCGCTGCGAGCAGAGGGAGACCCTGGTGCACGCATCCCTGGAGTGCGTCAGTCTGCAGCCCCTGCCCTGCCTCCTCCACTGCCTGTGGTCAGGCTCTAGCTGTGCCATTGCCCGCACCTGTTTATTGATGCACTCCCCATTTGCGGCCCCCAAGCCTGGGGGCCTTCCTCCTCCTGCCAACCTCCTCCTGGCCCAGGACAGCCTGGCCATGTTTTACTAGGAAGGTGGCTTTGGCCGGGGGTCCCCAGAGGCTGCGGGTCTGCTCTGTCCTCGGTCTGATCCTGCCTCTGGGCACAGCATCACAGGGCAGCGTCTGCTAGCTCCTTGGACCCATTCGAGGGCCAGTGGGGGCTGTGCGGCACACTCTACCCCCTCGTTATAAACCTGTAACCTCACTCTTGTCCCTGTTCTTTTTTTAGTTGTCCCAAGAAATCAGCTGCTATGTCTTCACCGGCCTCTCTCTCCAGCAAGCCGTCTAGTATTACTTGGTGGGCCCAGGCCCCCGCCCAGGGGCATTATGCAAAGGCCCATGTAAACAGAGCAGCAGACAGCGGAGCTGGAAGGAAGAAGACTGGATCCGAGCAGGGTCTTCCCTTGTTCCTCTCCCCCTGGCAACCTCCAGCATCCAGGATCCAGACAGCTCTGATACAGAGTCCCCCATCCAGCGTCTCTCCTGGACTGCCCAGGCCTGGCCTCGTGAGTCTCTCCTTCTAGGGAAGCCCCTTCATAGCCCCAGCCTTCTTGCTGCCCTCCTCTAGGCAGCAAAGGCAGAGACGAGGGGTTGGGGTGAGTCGACCACTCCCATGCCACCCCCAGGGGGAAGCCGGTAGCCTCCCATCCCTGGCCAGAGCAGAGGATGCGGGATGAGGCTGGCGCTGCCAGAGGCCGGACAGGGCAGAAGTCAGGAGTAAGGGCATCCCCTTCTGCCCAGGACTCACCGTAGACCTGGAGGGTGGCCAGGGCGCTGTGCACACGCTGCACTTCGCGGAAGGTGGCCCGGCGGGTGCTGAGGGGTATGTGGTGGATGTGCGGGGAGGCCCGGGGCAGCGGGGGACTCCGGCCACCGAGGAGCAGGGCGCGGGCAGAGCGGGGGGCGCGTAGGAAGATGCGCTGGGCACCCTGCAGGTGCGGCTCCCAGCTGGCCAGCAGCTCCTGGATGTCCTGCAGGAGGAGAGAGCAGGGAGAGAGAGCAGAACAAGAGTGCTCAGGAGCTCCCAGGACCTGCCCCCCAGCTCTAAAAGCTGGGGGTTGTGGGAGGTTAACCCCTAGGCAGAAACCAGGAGACCAGGGGGGTCAGTACCAGAGCCTGGGGCAGAGGGGGACACGGTCCTTCACCGGATAGGGGTACAGATGGCCCCCTGTGCACCCATCCCTGCCATCTAGGCTCCTCCCCCATTCCCTGTGCCAGGCCTCTCCTGCCCCCACGCTGTCCCAGCGCTCACCCACCTTAAGCAGTGCAGCCTCGTTATAGCGCCGCAGGGAGGCGCCGGCAGATCGGGGGATGCAGCCAGGGGCCTGGGCATCCCGCAGCCCCTGGGCCGTCCCACGCCGCGCCCGCACTGTGTAGCGATGGAAGGTTTTGTGCTCCAGCACCTGGGACCTGCAGAGAGCAAAGTGCTGATGTTCCCCCAAGCCCAGCTAGACCGCAAGAGATGCCAGCTCGGGGGCCTGGATGCTTAAGGCTTCTTCCCAGCTCCATGAGCTGGGAGTTGCTGACCCCAGGAAGGTGGAGCTGGGGGCATGGGGCAGGGATGGGGCCCAACCAGACTGAAGAGCTCCATGGTGCAGGGAGCCACAGGCTGGACCCTAGCTGCATCCCTGGGAGCCGCTGTGGGGGGGTCCCAAATCACAGCCCTGGCTCTCCTCATGTGTGGGGTCCCCAGAGGCTGCTTCACCCTGCACTCACCCCCGGAAGATGGCGCCAGCAAAGTGCCCACCGCCCAGCATCAGCACGACCCAGCAGGCATCCGGGCTCAAGCCCCGCAGAGCTGTCACCAGGTCCTCGGGCTCCTCGCTCCTGCCCTGCCACACCGAGCCTGCCGTGAGCGGCTGGCAGCGCACCTGGGCAACAGGCACCCTCTGCCCTCCCCCCGCGATGCAGCTGAGGCCACGGGGAGCATCCCGGGACAAGCAGGGCCCAGGAGCAGCCACGGACCCAACTGGGCTTGCCCCTCTCTGGGTCCTGCAGAGTCAGCATGAGCTGGGCTGAGGCTGGGGGGGGCGGGGCCCCGGGGGCACAGCGCGCCACTTGCCTGGGCAGTGCTTAGCACGCAGCGGTAGGCAGCCAGGAGCTGGCCCTGCGCGTTGCGGAACAGCACCTTGTGGGAACACCGGCCCTGGAGGGGCTCTGGCCAGCTGCCCCTCACGCCGCCCTGGGGTGGGGACACGTCCGAGTCACTGCTGGAATCAGAGCTGGAGCCAGAGCTGGAGCCGGAGATGCTGGAGACGCCCCCTGCAAAGACCCAGAATCGCTGCCGGTTGTGGGGGGCAGCGCAGGGACCGCCTTGGGCAGACCCACCCCCTCCACAGCCCCCGGGGACACAGGACCCCCACCAGCCCCTGCCCCATGTCTGCTGTGCGGTCCCTGCAGGCTCCCCTGACACCCCTATACAGCACAGGCCACCGGGACGGCAGCAGGTAGGTTCAGGGGGAAGGTTGGTCCGCCCTGGACACAGCCACAGCAGCTGCCGGGGGGAGGGGAGCAGCAGGGACACCCGGTGGGGGCACAGGGCAGCCCCAGCACAACCCCCCATCCTGTGGCCCACAGCCCAGCCCTGCTCTCACCGGCCCCGGTCTGGTCCTCGAACTCCTCAGCCGTGAGCGCCCGGCGCCCACGCAGCCGCTGCTTCAGGTTGAAGCGGTGCCAGTCCAGGCGGTAATGCTCCGTCTGCAGGGAATCGGCGGGGCTGAGGCCTCTCCAGCCCCAGTGGGCAGCCGGGGGCCACTGTGAGACCCCCCCACAACCACCAGGTGACAAGGAGGAGCTGCAGCTTCGTTCCAGGGAGGTTATTTTCCTCCGGCTGCCCCGCGTCCAGGAGTCGAACCTCCCCAAGGTGCTGGGGCTGCGCCTGCCTGTGCCAGTGCTGCTGCCGGGACTCAGCCCTGCAGGGTCCTGGCTGGAGGCTCCTGCCCTCAGCTCACGCTGCCGTGGGTGGGGGCGGCAGGGATCTGCCCCTGGCCCCGGCTCCGCTTACCTGCTCCTCCCGGCTGTCAAAGGCCTGGGTGCAGGTGGAGCAGCACATCCGGTCCGACACCTCAGCCGCGCCACGGGGCCTCTCCGCATCGGCCAGCGTCTCTGAAACGGGGAGAAGCTCAGAGGGGGCCGTGCGGACTCCCCAGGGAGGGGCTGCAGGCTGGGAGGATCCCAAACCCCACTGGCCGGTGCTGCAGCAGAGTCCACTCCCTGCGGGGGAGTTGTTGCAGCCCCGTGCCTCAGTTTCCCCCCTCTTGTTAGGAGCGACTCTGCCCCACGCGGCCCCTGGCAGCTCACCCGCGTCACGGCTGGTGGTGCGGGCGGGCGGCACGCCCGGGGGGGCCCCATGCACCAGGCAGAGCCCACGCAGCAGGGTGGGGTCCTGGGCGGCCTCAAACACGGAACGGGTCTCCGGCGGCTGCATCGTGGCCCCGGCGCTGCGGACACGGCAGAGCATGGTGCTGATGCGGTGGCCGCGCAGTGCCCGGGATCCACCCCCGCCACAGCCCATGCTGCTGGGGGAGGATCCTGTGTCCTGATTAGCTGCCAGGAGAACCTTAATACCCTGACTGGATGACTCCTGCCAGCAGCGTCCCCATTGGTCAGGGCGACCTGGGGAATCCTGTGCATAGTGGAGCAGCAACCCGGGAGACCCTGTTGGTCACAGGGCAGGGGTGGATCCCGCACTGTATTGGTCATTGCCGCACAAGCCAGGGTAATGAGTGGATCCCCATGCCTACACTAGCCAAAAAACAGATAGATCCTACACCCCATTGGTTAGTGCTGGAAAAGGATCCCATGCTCCCAAAGGTCAGTGCCGGAGGGGGAGGATCCCACACTCCATTGGCTAAGGCGGTGAAGGGATCCAGCACACTATTGGCCAGGGCTGCAGGGGGCTCACAGGTTCCCATTGGCTAGAGATGTAGGAGAGCCCCAAACCCCATTCGTTAGTCCTAGGGGGATCCCATACTCCCATTGGCCACTGCTGGAAAACAGGAGGCAGGATCCCACACCCCATTAGTCCCTGGTAGAAGGGGGATCCCACACTCCATTGGTCAGGACACTCACACGTTCCCATTGGTCAGTGACGTCGGAGGATCCCACATCCCATTGGCCAGTACTAGGAGGCGACCCCAGCCCCATTGGCCAGGGGAGCGGCCCCGCTCCCCATTGGCCGGCAACTCCCAGCCTCCCCCCTACCAGTTGCCCAGGTGACAGCCCCCCCCGCGGGGCTGCACTCACGTGTTCGCAGATCGCAGAGCGGAAGCGACGCCCCCCAACCCAGAAGCCGCCCCTAGAAGACGTGTCGTCACTTCCCCCCCGGTACGGCAGCCCCGCGCGGACCAACCACCTGGTCCCGCCCTGCGGCCGCGACCCCGCCCCCGCATTGGCCCGCCAGGGACCCGCCCCCGGGCTCCGATTGGCTGCCGAGAGCGTCCGCCTGGGCTGAGTGGCAGGGAGGCCGCGGTCCGGCCTGGAGCAGGGAGGGGGCGGCTGGGGCCGGGATCGGGGAGACCGCGCAGGTGAGGGGGGGCCGCGCCCGGGGACACGGGGCAGCCGGCACTGGGGAACGGAGAGATTAAACAGGCCCGGGTTGGGGGGGCACCCGGGCAGCCCCTGCCCCGCCACGGGCACGGAGAGGTTAAAC